CAAGGAAATATTTTAAGAGAGAGCAGCTCTGATTCCCTGGAAGATATTCCTCCACCACCCCATCTGCCATCTTCCTCACCACAGTGTACTCTCTAGCCACCTTGTTTTACTTTACATTTCTCCAAAGTTTAACACTATCTTGTCTATAATATAGTTGTTTATGTACTTGTTCATTGCATTTCTACTCTTCTCGTCCCTCTAGAGCAGTGCCGTCCAAATAGAAGTTATGTGATGTTAGACATGTTCTGTTTTGAGCTGTCCAATGCAGTAGCCATGTGACTATTGAGCATACTACTATATCTTCAGTGCTCAGAGCAGAATGTGACCCAAAGCCTTGTTGAGTGAATGAATACATAGTGAATGAATGAATTTGGCAGGTCAGGAGGACAGTAGATTACAAGTGGAGATGTCCACACCAAGTGTTCTAAGGTCCCTTGGAGACTGTAACCATGATAGACTATGGTTTGGGGGTACAGAATATGGGCTTCTCACCAGCTCCCCACATTAACCTCTCAGTTTGGCAAGATGTACTGAGTAGGGGAATATTCCTCCCTTGCATTTATTTTTACTCGGTTGTCTACTCAACCAGTTGACAAATGAGATGGATAGACTATCAGTGGGAGAAAGAGGGATCCCGTGACACTGAGGCTTTATTAGCCTATCTTTAGGCTACAGCTCAGATGCTGCAGGATGACTCCCCTACAACAACTGAGAGAGCCTGTACTTGGGAACTGTGCTTAGAGCTGGAAGGTCAGTGGGGAGATGCATCTCCCCCTGAGCCTCGGGCAGTGTTCTCTGACTCTAGTGGCCCAGGGAGCTAGTCCCAGGCACACCAGTGGTCATTGACTTCCAGCCACTAGTGCTTCCATGCCCAACCCCATGATCAATAATACTAGCTAATATTATATCCTTGCTACACTATCCATCCCAGTTTGCTTGTGACAGTCATGGTTATACCTGTTGTCCTAATGCCCAGTCTCTGTAGTGCGCCTTTCACTGTCAAAAGTGTCCAGATAAATTAAAGAAGATCATAAATTATATGGTCATCCTACATCTAGTGACATTTTACTTTGCATCAGGCATTGTTCTAAGCCTTTCACACATTTCCTTTTTTTTGCATTTACACCTTGTAGCCCATGGGGCAAATGTTACCTCCACTATCCTAGCACATGAGAGACTAAAGGATTGGTCTGCTGTCCTGAAACCAACAGGTTTAGACCTTGGTTGTGACCAAGTAAATAAGCACCAAGAGCCTCATTCCTGGGGCTTTCAGGAATGTAACATGGACCAAGCACCTCCTCCCTCCTCCTGAAACATGTTTCCATTGGAGAGGAGGCCCTGCCAGGGAAGAGTCTTTCCCATGGCAGATAATTGCTTCTCTCTCAATTGCTTCTCTCTGCAATCAGTACCAGGATAATTCCCAGGGCGAAGGCACGGTGTCTGCTAGTGTGGGATCATTTCCCGCATCCAGTAGAACAATGCCCACACTCTGGCCTTACTTCATGGAGCTGATGTTTTGTCCATGGGAGGATTCAAAACTCTTGGGAGGAAATGGAACCTTCCAGGGTGAGGTCCAAAGAAAGCTAAGGAGAGGCTCCAGTTCATTCCAAACCCAGTGTCTTCCCGACTGACACTGGGCATGTCAAGTCAAGGCGGAGGAACAGCTGAGCAAACCAGAATGCACCAACCTCAGTGCTGCGATTCAAAGTGGAATCAAATTCACTCGTGGAGTTGGATGATTGCCAGATTGCTTATAAATGTCACAAAAAGGCAGTAGCAGCTCATGGTTATATTCCCTCTTTTTTCACTTTGGAGTCTTTTAAAAAGAAGCTTTCAGCTCAATGTATCATTGAAAATGATAACAATGGCTTACCATTGAGTAGCTCTTTATAATACATATAATGTCTTTCACATCTATTATCTCAATGGGTCTTTCTTAGACCAACCTTAAAGTAGACAAATCTGTAATAATAACTTTGTTTTGAAAGTGAGCGCACTAAGGTTCAGTGAGGTTAAGGGATTTTGCTCAAGTTCACCTGCATTATGATAATAATAAGTATCATCTACCAAGTGATTAAGTGCTTTACATACATTATCTCATTTAATGCTCAAGGTCCCACTATGAGGTGGAGATGTTATCCTCTCCAGGAACACTGAGGCTCCAGGAGGGACCTGCCCACAGTCAAGTCATCCGGAGAGGAAGAGGTGGAGCTGGAACAGGAACCAAGTCCCCACTCAGAAGCCAATCTGACTTGAAATCCTCTGTCCTTTCCCATATGCAGGGGGTAAGAGCTCTTTCCAAAGCATTATTCTAAATGGGAGGAATTGTCTTACTGAGAAGCCTGAGGTTTTTATTGGGCAAAGCAAGGTGGGTTAGAAGGAATCCCAGAGAGGAGATAGGAAGAGGGAGGTAGGCTCTGAGAGGAGCAGCAAGGAAGCTGATCATGCTGCTGAAAACACATGTGCCTGTGTAGCCACCACCACAATTAAGATTTAGAACATTTCTGCCATCCTAAAAAGTTCCTTATACTCAGTCCAGTCTCTTTTTATCCGCTCCCCCCGTCCTGGCATCTAGTTGCCACTACTGGGACTCTCAATGTCCTGTAACTTTTTGTTAACAGCCTTGTGATATTAATAGGTAATATTTTTATTTTCCAGCATATAAAAAAATGAGGCTCACATTAAATCACTTTCCCAAGAAAAATGAGGACTAAATTATTAGCCTGGAAAGGAGATTAGAGTAAGAGATTATGATACCTTGTAGAAAAGGTTGGTGATATCAAGTAGTCTGGCCTTCCTATGGCAGAAGCAGGCAGGAACGCGATTATACAGGTCCCTGTAGGCCATGCTAACCAACAATGACCTCTGTCTAGTAATTACAGTTTTGTTTCTCTATGTCAAAATGATGTGTAAGCAGAGAGGAAGCTTCTTTCTGAGAGAGAGAGAGAGAGAGAGAGAGAGAGAGAGAGAGAGATTACATATGAATGGGTTTGCCATAGAACCTCATCCAAAAATACTTTTTATTGGCCTGCTAGCTGCCTAAATTATTATTATTATTGTTTGTTTTTCTTTGTATATAACTTAATGCAGTTTTTTTTTTAAAAGAATACAGAATTAGGATTCAGAAAAATTGAATGAAGAGTTGTTCATTGTGTCCACGCTGTTTCTCTTCCCTGTTTCTCATAAGCCTCGTTGGTAAAATGTGTGTAATAATAGTTGTCCTGATGGTGTAAAAATTCTTGAAAAAGTAAGAGCCCTTTTACAGCTGGTTCTTGTGTCCTCCTGAACAAGGAACTCAATCCTTCCCTTTCCAGTCTGCTTCCTCCAGTTCAGAGAAAGGCCTACTAGTTGCTGCTGATTCATCATTTAAATGGAGAGCAAACATGTCTCAAACGTGGACATAATATCTAGAATGATCCCAGGCTTTCCCTCAAGGACATTTGTTTTATCCCTTGTCAAAGCAAGGAGGGGGATGAAAAGAAATTTCTAATTACAAAGAAATATGCTGAAATGAATAGCCATTTTTTGTGGTGAAACTATGGCAGGGGCTAGGTCAGTGATGGCGAACCTTTTGAGCTCGGCGTGTCAGCATTTTGAAAAACTCTAACTTAACTCTGGTGCCATGTCACATATAGAAATTTTTTTATATTTGCAACCATAGTAAAACAAAGACTTATATTTTTGATATTTACTTTATATATTTAAATGCCATTTAACAAAGAAAAATCAACCAGAAAAAATGAGTTCGCGTGTCACCTCTGACACGCATGTCATAGGTTCACCATTACTGGTCTAGGTGACTTCTCTTGCATCTTTTAGCATTTCATAAGCACAGAAAATCAGAGAATCTTAAAAACACTTCAATATTTACATATACAGAAGAACATTTATAGTTTATGAGCAAAGTATAAGAAAGGACAAAAATGAATATCTGCACACTCACTACTGCAGTGTAAGAAAGGGATTATTACCAGTAGGTCATTTGAAGCCCCATTAAGCCCTCCCTGATGCAATTCCTCTCCCTCCCCAGACTTAACCACTGTGGTGACTATGGTGTTTGTCTATCCCAGGGCTTGTTTTAAAAGCACAGATGGCAATACTCTCATGCTGAGAGTACTCTTTTGCAACCTGCTTGTTATGTTCATGTTGACGTTTGTGAAGTTTACCTACACGGATGCATGTGAACCTACTCCAGATATTTTCAAACATATATATGACATTAATATAGTGCTGCATTCTATGAATATACTGCAAACATATACATGTGATATTAGCACAGTGTTGCAGTCTATGAACATACTGCAATTCAGTTACTGTTTTTCTGTTGATGAAAATGCAATTGATTTCCATTTTTATTATTACAAACAATGCTTTTTTGAGCATTCTTGTCCATGTCTTCTGATGCAAATAAGTTTTTCTAGATTTTAGTCTCAGTAATGGAACTGCCAGGTCTCAGGATATGACATATTCAACTGTAGTAGGTGATGCCACATGGTGTTCCAGGGAGAATGTGCCAGTTTGCAGTTCTACTAGCAATGTGCAAGGGTTGCCATTGTTCCTCAGTCTTACCAACTGCATATTCTGAGGTTTCTTAATATTTTCCAAACAGATGGATATAGAATGGTTTCTCACTGTGATTTTTATTAATGAGGCTGAGCAGATTTTCATATGTTTATTTGCCACTTGTGTTTTCTCTTCTGTTATATACTTATCCATTCTTTTTTTAAAATTTTGTTTTATTGCTTAAGGTATTACAAAGAGTATTACATATGTCTCCTTTTTGTTTTGCCCCTTTACCTTTCCCCGGCCTCCCCTAACCCCCAGTGTCTTGAGTCCATTGGTTATGCTTATATGCATGCATACAAGTCCTTCGGTTGATCTCTTAACCTCCCCCCCCAACCCTCCCCACTGTAGTTTGACAGTCTGTTCAATGCTCCTCTACCTTTGTATCCATTCTTTCTTTTTTCACAACAAACAACTTTATGCCTCAGTTGTACAATCTAAAAGTTAATGGTCACAGGAGTGCCATCCTGAACTTGGAATGTATAACCTTCAGAGGTAGTTTCTGGGCACAACATTTTGATCTTCCTCTTCCTCTACAGAAAAATATTTCTCAATCAAGTTTAGTGACGCTTTGTACACAGACTCATTTTCATGGTATTGTAGAGCTTCAATTTTGTCCAAACCTCCACATTCTTCAATCATTATACTTAGTTTCTCAGTTTCACCTAGTTTCTCAGCAGCCTGGAATATATTTGAAATGGCATCCAGAATAAACAGAATAATTTTGGCATCTTTTGCAGTTAAGAGGTTCATCAGTGGTTCTATTACGCCACAATGAACGAGGTATACAATTTGTTCAACTGTTCCACCACTTGTTTAGTTGCTCACAGCCCATACAGCCTCCTTTTGTGTCTGAAAGTCCGCCTTAGCAAGAACAACAATGAGGAATGGGACTAATCCATGATTCACAACTTGCTGTATCTGGTCCTGGCGGCCAGCTGTGATGTTTGACATTGTCCACGTAGCTTCCTTCTGAATATTAGTTTTGGAGTTCATTAGTAGGCTGGGAAAGATGGCAAGTGCTCCTGCATCTATTACAACTTGCGTCTGTTCGTCTGTCCCAGTGACAATATTTCCTATGGCTCTTAGGGCAGGAGTCACAATTGGCAATTCAGTAGCTCCTAGGAGCTTCACAAGTTGGGGCACAACTCCTGTTTTCACAACCATTTCAATCCGTTCATTTGGACCATCAGTAAGGTAGGAAATGGCCCAGCAGCTATCTGCTAATACTTCTGGATCATCATGATGCAGGAGACGAACTAAAGTAGGAAGAATCTGCTCAACAGCATCTAATGGGGGTACAGGATTCTTGTTGCGACAAAGGTTTGAAAGTGTCCAGGTCAGATTACGTAAGTAACCACACTGCAGGAAAAGAAAAATGCAATGAAAAGTCCTGTTTTCTGAGGTGGTGGGAAAAATAGAATCAACAAGTGAGTAACTTACTGCTAAAGATGACATATCAGGAACTGCTAGAAGAGCCAACAGTGGGTCAACTGCACCATACTTGATAACCAAGTCTCGGAAAGCTGAACCATCACCTGCAATATTTCCTAGAGCCCATACGGCTTGTTCACTGATGTGAGTTTCTATTTATGCCTTTGACAATGTCCTCAACAGACCAATTTACAGTGCCCTGGTTATTACAGTTTTCCTGCAGTGGAGACATAGCATCATCGGGAAAGGAACTCACATTTCTTCTTTTCAGCATCTGGTCATCCTTCTTAGCTTTCCTCAGCTCCACATTAACTTCTATTCGGCGCCGCCTCATTTCTGTACTGTCTTTCCCCTTGTTCTTGAATCTGCTAAGGTGGGCAGCTGGCGAATTAGCATTCTCATTGGTGGACATGGTTATGAGACAAAGGGAGAAGCTCCAAATAGGCGCTCAGGCTCTCACAGGAGACCCGTGAGCGGAGGACGGGCTGCGGTTCGGTTGCTCCAAGAACGTCTACAGCGGCTCAGCTCTCAAACGGTGTGTTGTGGTCCAACCCCAGCAGATCCAGGGGTTCCCGAAGGTGTGGATGGAGTCGGCGAAGAATGAAGGACACAGAGACAGTGTTCAGCTGATCAGCAGCCTAGCCAGGATCTCCAGCCAAGTTCTGTCCAGGATCTCCAGCCAGGTTCTGTGTTTTATTGTCTTGTTACATCTGTATTTATACCAGTTGATTTTAATCCTATCAATTTCTATTCCAAAGGTTAGGGCGTTTCTTATCTCCATTCCAGGGAGTAAAGATTATGTAGCTTAAGCGTGATTGTTCATAGTTAAAGTGATTAACTACCCGCCTGGCACTTAGTTAAAGGGTTTACTGATAAAAATCCTCACCTGGGGAAACAACCTTTCTCTGTGATTCTGATGTGCACTCAATGACAAAATCGCCTATGGATGCATTTCTCAGAACATATACCTGTTAGCTATAAACATAGTGGATGGAGTGCAGAAAGAGCCTTGTTCCTGTAGAAGGTTGCTGGCTTCTTCAGTCAAGGGATTTCAGCTGTCTTCAAGTCTGTGGTTTGGTTGTCCTTGTTGATCTGGCTAGCGGGCGGCATCATTGGCGATGGGCTTCCCGAAGCTTCAGCGAGTTGAAGGGCTGCATCAAAGGGTCCATCAGAGCCACTCTTGATGATGGTGTTAGTGTCCAGGGAGGAGTCAGCTGTGCCCTCTGGGTCGGCTGATATGGAGGATACCGGGGAAGAGGAGGAGGAGGCGGAGATCTCTGTATCCATTCTTTATTGGGTGATTAGTTTACTCTGATATAAAGAAGTTAGGAGCTCCTTATATCTTTTATAAATAGTAATTTTTTTATTGGTTATATGCCACTAATATTTATTCCAGCTTCTGGGTTTTCTTTTCATTTCTTTTGTTGCCTTTTAACAAACAGAAAAGACATTTTGTTCATTAAGGAACAAAAATTTTAACTTGGATATAGTTGAATTTATCATTCTTCTTTTATGACTGGAATGTATTACAGAAAATTTTTTTATAAACTGAAGTCATAAATATATTCTCTTATATGTTACACTAAAGTTTACATTTTGCCTTTCACCTTTGTGCCCTAATCCACTCAGAATGAGGATAACGTTGTCTCTGCACTATTTACTGACTAGCTGGTTCTTTCCCCACTGATTTGCAATGACCCCTATGTTATATGTAAGGAGAACCTACCCATACATGCAGGTCTGCTTCTGGGCTCTCTCCATTGAACTGTTTCTCTCCCTTAGCCAATATCACTCTGTTCAATTTTATTATCTTTATAATAACTCTTGATATATGTTAGGGCAATCCCTCCCTGTGCCATGTACTTCTTTTTTAAAGGACATTTGGGAATTTCTTGGCCCTTTGTTTTCAATTTAAATTTTACAATCATCTTGTGAAGGTCCATAAAAATCCTATTAGGGTTTTAATTAGAATTGCATTAAAGCTATAGATCCACTAAGGAGACTTGACATCTTTGGGATAGTAAGTCTTCCTTATCCATTTATTTAGGTGTTTTTTTAAATTAATCTTATCATTGTCTCCATAAAGTTTTCACATCATTTATTAGACTTATCTATGGATGCTTCATACTTTTGAAAATCTTATGAATAGCATTTTAAGTTATACATTTTTTTAAAAAGATATTTTATTGATTTTTTTTTACAGAGGGAAGGGAAAGGGGGAGGGATAGTGAGTTAGAAACATCGATTCAGCTGCCTCTTGCACGCCCCCTACTGGGGATGTGCCCACAACCCAGGTACATGCCCTTGACCGGAATCGAACCTGGAACCCTTGAGTCCGCAGGCTGACGCTCTATCCGCTGAGCCAAACCAGCTAGGGCCTAAGTTATACATTTTGATCTGTGTAGCTGGTATTTAAAATTCAATTTATTTTTTTTCAATTGATTTTTTACTAATTCAGAAAGCCTGATAAATTCTTTTTAATTATAATGTCTTTCCCTTGTTTCTCTTAGTTTTTTTAATGTAGCCAATCATATCATATATGAAAAATGCCAGTTAAGATAAGATTTATTGGAGCCTTGAGACAACAGACACTGCATGTGGCTTTGTAAAGTATAAACTTTTGATCTTGTCTCTTTTGTAAGTTACCTTATATAACTCTGACAGTTTTTACATTTACAGAACTCTTCAAAGTTTCCATCTATACTATGAATTTATTGCATATAGAATCTAGCTTAAGGAAAGGAAGTAAAGCTTTGCCTTTGGTACTCTTGGAAGGGCCCAAAGGGTGATCTCATCTCACTTCATCACTTCGTAGTTAAATACACTAACACTCAGAGACACTGAGTGACTTGTGAAAGTTATATTCCTAGCTAGGGGCTGAGCTTGGATGAGAACCATGTCTCTTGATTCTTGAGCAGGATTCTGCTACCCCAGATAGTTTTCATCTTTCTCCTCCACTTTTAGATCCTATTTGCCCAACAGGACCCTGGAATCCTCATCTTGTTCCATCGCAGGGCCCTACTGCCTCTGCCCTCCATTATCAACCCTTTCTAATTGAAGGGTCACACGTCACTTTCTCCATGTCCCAGCCATAAGAGTACTACCAGAGCTCAGTGTTGAATCTAAAGAGCCATTATTAATCTGAGTATCAATGACTGTTTATGGCTCAATGTGTTGCTCCTTGTCTAAAGTAGCTCGAATGCCTCACCTCGTGTGAACAACTAATCATGTTTCTAAGAGTTAAATTTATTGACATCTCACTATATGCCAGACAATGTGCTTAAGGATTTATATAAATTGTGTCATGGATATTGCGTGCATGATGTCATTATCTAATTGGAGCAATGAGTTGTAAGGGACAAGTCCAGTGAGTGATATATGTAGGGACAGGTGGGGTTATTCTGCCCCTTTTTAGTGATATCACTCAGGCCCTGATGCCTTGGGCATGGAGCCAACAGATGAGAGAATCCTGCCTCTCTTCCAGCTTCTTCAGCCCTCTGCCTGGTGAGTCCTCTGTGCATACTGCCGAATGCCCAAGCAGTGAAAATTGCTGCCTGGGTGGGATCACCAGAGCTGCTGTTCTAGACAAGATTCTCAGAGCCTGGATTGCCGACATGCCTGGGGTATTCCAGGGCTCTGAAACTCATTGTTTGCCAATGAAGTGGGGAGATATAGGACACCATATATGACTTACGTGAAGAAGAGCCCAGAGAAGAAGCTTTTGATGTAGAATTTATCATGATTTTACACCTATCAGGAAATTGCTTTAGTACCCATTTTACTGTTTGTCAGAGCAATAACAAAACAAAAGAAAACAACTATCAAATAAAAACTGTAAAAAAATAATCCAAATCTCACAAAATCTCTGTGGTGCCATTATTGTAGCTCTAGTTGAAATAATTATTTTAGGGCTTATTTATATCTATATCTATAGTAAAAGATCCAATATCTGCACAGCGCTTTGTGATTCAAAAAGCAGCACACTATAGCAACTTTGACTTGCAAAGCTGGATGTTTTTGAAGGCTCATTGCTCAGGTGCCAGTTTTAAAAGTTGGGGTGCCAGGTGTGGGGTTCAAACCCATTGTTTCTCAGGGAGAACCTTGGGTTAGTGAGTTCCCTCCTAATTGTGGGTCACCATACTGGGATGGATTCTTGGCAAGATTGTGTCTTAAGCTCTCTTATCTGCTTTGATGTGTGTGTGTCTGTGTGTGTGTGTGTGTGTGTGTGTGTGTGTGTTTCAGTCTCCCAATGTGCAAGAGTTGCTCAGCTAGTTTTTGGTGTATTTTTCCCCCAGAAGAAATTGTTCTGTATGTAGCGGTAGATGTGGGTGTCCATGGGACTAGATTAGTTCAGGATCCTCCTACATTGTCATCTTGAACTGGTCCCCTACAGCAACTTTGAGAAGATGGTTATGAGGAAACAGAGTCTAAACAATTAAGTAAATGACTGAAGGTTGATGTTTGGGTCTTATCCAAATACAGTGGTCTCTTCTTACCTACCTAATATTGCCATTACTTTGGGAAAATCAAGCCATGAATATATACATGTTCTTATGACCCACTAGGAGTGGGTGAATTTATATTGAAAGCAACTTATTTAGTGCCTTTTGAGAGTGTGTTCAAAATTCCCAGGATACCCTGCATTGTCTTGTTTGAAACAGTTATAAGACAGCCTCTTAGACAAACCCAGTCTCCTCCTAAATGTGTACTAATTTCTGCTGTACATATTTTTATTATCTGATTTATCTATCATTATGTTATAAAGTATAATATGTAGACTTGTGTGTAACCACTCCCTTTGTGTGTGTGTGTGTATGTGTGTGGTTCGGTGGAATGAGACTATAAAGAAGAATTCATTAATTAATGGTTTTCAACAGATAAACTGTATCTGATAATCTTCGCCAACAAAGCTTAAATCATCCACTGGGGCTCAAAGGTGTTAATCAGCATCTCAGTTTGTGTCAACAATGAGCAGAGCTCAACACTCAGACTAGAAAATAGAACTGGAGTGGGGGCGTCCAAGTGGGTAAGGAATGTTTTAATTGGGGTATTTAGGTTTTGGATGTTTTTACTAAGAGGACAAGATTTTAGCTAGATGAGCTCCCAGATGTGGGCTAGATGACACTGGAAGACATACAAGAAGTTAGAGACATTCTTAAGTCTCTATGACTCTGAAGTCATTATTCTCCAGGGAATCACTGCTAATTGATCAGAGCTGGCGACTAATATGAAATTTCTTTGCCATACATGATCTAGTTTAACCTCATGATTTTTCATGAAAGGTAAAAAGAGTCTAGGGCAGTGGTTCTCAACCTTCCGAATGCCGCAACCCTTCAATACAGTTCCTCATGTTGTGGTGACCCCCAACCATAAAATTATTTTCGTTGCTACTTCATAACTGTAATTTTGCTA